AAATCATATTCTATATATGATACACATATTATACAGGAATCATATTCTATATATGATACATATATTATACAGAAATCATATTCTATAGATGATACATATATTATACAGAGATCATATTCTATATATGATACATATATTATACAGAGATCATATTCTACATATGATACATATATTATACTGAGATCATATTCTATATATGATACATATATTATACTGAGATCATATTCTATATATGATACATATATTATACTGTGATCATATTCTATATATGATACATATATTACACAGAAATCATATTCTACATATGATACATATATTATACAGAAATCGTTCCAGGTATGCCAGTTTTTATTCCCCGGCCAAAGGTCGGATACTTTTCTCACAGGTCTCGTATATAGTTGGCCTAACTTATAATCCTCCTAGCCCTATTTTTATGATTTTGACCTACAAATATTATAGCTTTAACTGTACACATACTTTAGCCTAAAACTTTTAAGAGTAGTTCTTGCTTGATTTTGCGACTTTCTTGACTTAAACAATTTCCATCATACAGACAAAAGAAAATTTGATATTCTAAAACTTTCCTCACACAACCAGTGAGAAAAATAAAAATATAAACCCATCATTTATGTTTCACGAAATCATCAATTTTCCTCATAAAATCCTGTAAAGTGTTGATCTTCATTTTTACCAAATGATAACTCATTCCATAAGTCAATCACCCTGTTAGAAAATATAATTGTTTTAACTGGAATCTAGCCTCTCTTTTTTTTCTTCCAAAACTTGTGTCCTTTCATTCTGTTACCTTCAGAATAAAATACAAAGAAAACATTGAACTTTATCTTGTCAATTTCACAGATAATTTTTTAAACTTCACTAAGATTACTTCTTACCTTTCTTTTATTGACAGAAAATAAAATGAGATCTTAGAAGATAAATCTTCCACATCTGGCAAACCTTAATAATTATGCTCTCAACATTATAATAAAGCAAAAGCCCAAGCATTGAACCCTGTGACATGTCACTAGTTACATGGATTCAAATTGACTGGACTCCATTACTAACAACCTTTGGATTTGTCTCATTTAAACACCCTAAATTCCAATTTACTACTCCTTTTCCCAAATTATGTTGATTTGATTTTTTTATATAATCTTTGTGTAGTATCTTTATTTTCAATACAAAATTTCTTTATTCAGATTACACCCTCTGGCCTTTTTGGGTTGATACACACGTAGATCCACCATTCAGAAAATCAAGGTGAGGAAGAACATTTTTATAAATAGGATTAATGAATTCAATACAGAAATTTTCTTTAATTATAAACAATGTATTGTCTTGATCTGTTAAATGTATAGCACAAATAACTGAAATTAGAATATAATATATGTATCAGCTATAGAATATAATTTCTCAATAATATATGCATCATATATAGAATATGATTTTTGTATAATATATGTATCATATGTTGGAAACCTAATCACCCTCAAAGTAGTCTCCTTGGGACTCCACACACTTCTCCCAGCGGTGCCGCCATTGTTGGAAGCATTCCGAGAAAGCCTCTTTCGAAATGGAGTTTAGCTCGGCTGTCGTTGCAGCCATAATGTCCTCTCTTGTCTGAAATGGGCGTTCCTTTCAATGGCCTCTTGAGTTTGGGGAACAGCCAGAAGTCGCAAGGAGCCATATCAGGAGAGTAAGGAGCCTGTTGAACCACAGGAGTCTGGTTTTTCGCCAACAGAGTCTGAATTCATAGCCAAATCTTCGGTCATAATGGAATGTGCCGAAAAAGTGCTGATGCCCACCTCTTCCGCAATTTCTCGGATAGTCACACGATGGTCCCGCATCACCATAGCGTTCACTTTGGCAATGACCTGGTCATTTCGGGATGTTGATGGCCGACCGGAGCGTGGCTCGCTCTCCACCGTTGTGCGGCCGTCTTTAAACCGGTTGTACCACTCCTTAATCTGTGTGATGCCCATAGCATCGTCACCGAAAGCCGTCTGAATCTTCCGAATGGTTTCCACCTGGCTGTCGCCCAGTTTCTGGCAAAATTTGATGCAATAGTGCTGCTCCAGTCGTTCCGTCATATTCCTTGCAATGAAAAACCGACGAGAGCACTACACACTACCTCACTCAATGGCTGCTTGCCAACAACTGACGCAATCAACAAGCGGGAAAAATTCACGCATGCGCACGAAGGTACAAGGTCGGCTCATGCAAGCGCGCTTGATTCAAATCCATCAGGTTATCACAAAAAAAAATAAGGTCGGATACTTTTCTCACAGGCCTACACCTGTGTATGTTGGAGGTCAGATTTGTTT